AGTGGGCTTATATGGAAAATAATACAATAATTAATAAATTATAATAGAAGAATAAACTCTGCGTTTTGCGTAAACCTACTTTTGCCCCACACTGTATGCAGCAAATTGTGATTCGGGACATGAAGGGGCCAAACAGGGCGCAGTGATGGACAGTGAGCCCGGGGGGCAGAGCCCACGTCTGTAAGGAGGTGAGACGTCAGGTGGAGAGCAAGGGGGTGACTGTGGGTGATCTTTTGGGGTCAGGGTGTGTTGACCTGAGGATGTGAAGGCCCCTTGAGAGTCAAGCTCTGGGTGAGGTATATGGCCTACATTTAGCTGTGCGGTGGGCGTGGAGGACAGTCAGAGAGAGCCCTGGAGTCTCAAAACCATCTTTGCTGAACCGGGCGGCGTAGAAATACGTGGAGGCTCAGGCCGTGGGATCTGAAAGCAGCCGGCAGGCCTCTCCCGTTCATTCAGCTCCCTTGTGATTCCAGCAGCTGCCGCGGAATTCAGTTCAGCAGCAGAGAATGAAGATGCCCTCCTCAGACACTTGTTCCAGGGTTATCAGAAATGGGTTCGCCCTGTATTACATTCTAATGACACCATAAAAGTATACTTTGGATTGAAAATATCTCAGCTGGTAGATGTGGTGAGTAATCCTTGGCACTGGCCTGAGAAGAACATGCATTCCTTAAACCTGTTTGTGAGTCTGAGATTTTATTTTGTTTTCTTTCCCGGTGCCTGCCATTTCAATTTTTAAAATAACTTACTGCGAGGGAAAAGCTGCCCCAGGAAGCCAGGGAGCTGACCCGGGGAAAGAGTGAGAAGTGCCACAGAGTGGCATTTTCACTGCAGCACCACCGGCGTGCGACCTCTTTGCTGGAGGGTGGATACGGTTGCTGCCAAGGCCACTGCCACTGGCGGGTTTGCTGCGAGCACCCAGGCTGAGGAGCGGGGCGGGAGGGAAGGGAGAGCTGGGCCCAGGGCGATCCAGTGTCCCCGCAGCCGCGGAGGGCTGGCAGGGGCATTTGCATGGAGAGGGGGCAGATCGAAGAGGACAGCGCCCGAGCGAGTGCCTGGGCAATGCCATCCTGCTCTTGGAGCCCCTTGGGACCCATGCCTCCCCCTGACCTCACCCATGCTTGAGCAGCCTCTGCTCATTTTCTTGCTGAGCTCATACTTTCGCCATGACTGTGTTCCTGGAAAATCAGTGAACTGTAACAACCCAGATTCTGTAAAATCACCCTGCTGTGGTCCCCCAAGTCCCAGAATCATCCTCCCCCATTACCCAAATCCCCACCGCCACCAGCACACATGCACACACACTCACCCACCCCAGCTGACCCAGTGCCCCAGGATTCCTTCTAGAAAGTCATGCACAGCCCATCTCCAATTTAGTTAATGTTTAATCCTATTTGGCACCCTGGAAGTGCTTCCTGGGTTAAGCAATTATATATAAATATCACCACAGTGAACTGCTACTTGCTTTAATTATTACTTTTCATTTTAAGCAAAATATGCACAATATTTTAGGATCCCGTGTCATTTAACTGTTCTTAAGTTGAGAATTGTTTACGCTTTGAACACCCGAAANTGCATAATATTTTAGGATCCCGTGTCATTTAACTGTTCTTAAGTTGAGAATTGTTTACGCTTTGAACACCCGAAAGGTAAGATTCAGAGAAGTATTTCTGACCAAAAAAAAAAAAAATCCCAAATGCAACTTCACTTAAATTGCATTCACATCTTTTTCATTGTCATTTTCTTAGGATGAAAAGAACCAACTGATGACAACAAATGTGTGGCTCAAACAGGTAAATGTCAATCCAAGGGTTGTATCTGCCAACCTAATTATTTCCTTTCTTTTCTATTTAGAAAGTCTCCCATTTAAAAAATAATTATTTTAAAGAGCATGCTGTGTTCCTCAGGGAGTTAGCTGGGAGAAGTTGGGTCTATTATTTGTTGATTTCTTTTGTGAGAGTCAGAGGGCAGATCTTGGGCACTCACAGGCTTGTGCCTTCCTCTGCTGTCTCCCCTGGAGCCGACTGTCCGCAGCGAGGTGGGGAGGGTGACTGACCGTGAGGCTGGGCGCTGGTCCCTGGGCTACTTGGAGAAGAGGGGTAAAGGCCCCAGGGTGCAACTTTCCCCCATTTAGGGTCTGCAACTGGATGAGAAAAGCAACGGTGCTGAATTGTCCCTCACTCCTCTGGTCCTCCATGGGGAAAATCCACCCCAATGTGTCTTGCTGCTCCCTAGAAAGAGGGAATAGGGAAGGACAGAAGGCCGTCCCCCATCGGTCTCAGGACAAAGTGAAACCCCAAACGTGAATGTTTTTCTGATACAACTAAAAACACTTTTGAATGGTCTTCAGCTCTGCTTTTAAGAAGAGAACATAGTGTTGACTGTGTAAAAAACCAAAACATATAAAGAAAGTATACATAAGGTATCCATGGTAGTGTACACAACTGAGATGCTTCTTTTTGTTTTTTTACTCAGTTCTTCTGTCTTATCCTCTATTTCCATAGTTCTTCTTTGTTATATTTAGACATTCCTCTTTTAGCCTCTCAAGCACAAAGTTAGTGACATCCTGAGAAAGTCCTTTACATGGAGCTATTTTTATTTTATTGATTTTATTTTGCAAATTCATTTGCCTTCCTCCTTCGTGCTTCCAGAGAGAAATCAAAACCCTACACATCATAAATAGATTGTTAGCATTGACTCACTGAAGCTGCGTGAGAAGGTGCTTAAAACCCCGGCCACTCAGACTCTGCTTTGTCACATTCAGGGCTAAGAAACTGCATCACAAGCACCTCGAAGGTAATGGGAAATGAAGCCAACCTCTCACTAACGACCCGAGGGTCGGACCCTGCACCTAGATGGTATCATGTGAATAAGCACTATGATGACAGATGTCACATTTACTCCCTCAGCAAGCATTTACTGAGCACCTACTATGTGCTGGGCACTGCACAGTAATTGAGCAGAGAATCCAGCATCAAAAGGTTTGCTATATAAACTTGGGCAAATCATTTCATCTCTCCAACCCTCAAACCCTTCATCCATAAAATAGAAGCAATGCCTAGCTCGCAGTGTCCTTGGGAGGTTAAATGTGACTCGCACATTATCTGGCATGTAGTGGGGACTCAATAAGTGTCATTTCCTTGCGCCACCTTTGTATGCTTCCCCATCCTTTTTCCCCCTTTTTATTGAATTCATTGGGGTGACACTGGTTCACAAAATTATACAGGCTTCGGTGCACGGTTCCACATCACATCATCTGTGCGCTGTATTGTGTGTTCAATGCAGCCAAGTCTCTGTCCATCACATTTATCCCTCCAATCCCCTCCTCCACCTTCTCCTCCCCCAGTAATCACCACACTGTTGTTCATGTCCATGAGTTTTCTCTCTCTCTTTTTTTTCTTGTTTGCTTTCACTCATGTGGAATCTAATGAACAAAATGAACTAATAAGCAAAATAGAGACAGACTCATAGAGAGCAAGCTGAGAGCTGGGGGGCAGGGGATGGGGGACTTTCTCATCCTTAATGACAAGCTCCTTCTCTTGGCACTGACAACTCACGGACGTAATGGGAGTATGAGACATATAATATGCCATCGTGCCATCTTTAAGATGAAAATGAATGAACATTAACTTGGTTTTAAGAATGTCTCATCTGACCTTAAGATAACTGAACTTCCCAGGGATGCCCCAGAGGCTGCAGATCAAAACAATAGCAAGGAGCATTGGTCCCTTACTATCTAGTTGTCTTAGTATTAAACTAAGAATAATTTGAAGAATTCATTGATGATAAAAAAAAAATCGTATGATTTAGGTTTAAATGAAATTTTATTCTGAATTGTGGTAATAGCTAGACATTTATGAGTGATATTTCAGATAATATAAGAAAAGACAATTTTAAGGGAATGTTTATGATAGGGATTTGAAATTGTACCTTTCAGAATTAAGAAACCCAGACTTGGAGTGTTTCTTCATTTTTTTCTTAGTGGTAGATTAGCTTTGATATTTGGCCCCAACACACCCTGTGCTCTCCCGTTTCCTGCAATAACACAGCCCCCACCTGGGAGCTGTGCACAGTGGAGCTGCTGTTTGTAAAGGGCTTTGAGAGTCTTGGCTAGAAAGTGCTACACAGACACAGGAATATGATTTCTAATCTCTTACTTTAAGAAGGGAGAGGCGGGAGGTTAATCTCCAGAGGCCCCGGGGATTCAGAGAACAGAGAAGTACCCGGAAAATCTCACAACATCTTAGAGGACAAGAGAGAAGATCTGGGCTCTGAATCCTCATGCTCACCCTGCTGACGTGTCGTCATTTTGGGGTACGGGGCTCAGCCAGCATGGTGGTGGATGCACATCCTGGTAGAAATTCCATGAGCTCCTCTGATGGGCATGTCAGGGACAAACCCCTGATTCCCCAGGTCTGGCTACAGAAGGACACCAAGCTTGTGAAGGGTGACACTCAACCCAGCACAGCAGTGCAACTAGCAAGGGACAGTCTACCCTGTGGAACCCGGGGCTTCAGTGCCCTTTTGCTTGTGGGTAGACAGCACTGACCAGAAGTCCCAGCTAGCTCCCTTTTCCTTACTGCTCAGGAACGCAACCTGAATCCACTGTGGATCTGTTTATATGCTCCCCCAGGATTCAGACGTATCCCTCATTCACCTACTCACTCCTTCTGCCTTTCCACACACTGTTTCATCTAGGGCAGACCTCCGTGTGCCCCCCACCCCCCCGCTGCTCCGTGTCTGTCACGGGGCTCCCTGCCTGTGGGCCCGCAGCATGCTGCCTGCTCAGGATCTGCTCAGATTCTCCCCAGGATCAGCTGAGAACTTTCTAGATGCAGGCGACAGAAAACCCAACCCAAACTGCATAAGCAAAAATAGAAGTTACTGGCTTTCACAATCTGAAAAGTGCAAGGACAAGGCTGGCCTTACATGCAGCGTGATCCAGGGGCGGAAGCAATATTCTCAGGGCCTGGTGTTCCCTGGGTGTCTCCGGGCTCCGCTCTCCTGGGTCACTCTGTCTCATTCATGGCCTCCTCCAGTCGTAGCAGGGGGGCTACTTCAGCCCAGCCTTAAGGTGCTTCCTGTGTTCAAGTTCGGCAGCAAAGGGTTTAGCCAACCTCTTTTGCACTGGTCCCGGAGTCTCATGGTGTTTTATTGACTCTACTCTGGTCACTGAGATCGAGGTGGCAGGTCCGAGGGCCAGGCCACTCCTGGAGCAGAAAAAAGAGTCAGATCCTCCCACAGCAGAAGGATGAGGGACACTGCAGTGATTTTGTCAAAAATGTACATGAAAACACAAAGGAACTAGAATAGCCAAAACAAAATTTAAAAAGGAGAATACAGTTGGAGGACTCACGTTACGTGGTTTCAGAACTTACTAGAAAGTGATAACCAAGACAGTGTGGTACTGGGGAAGGAAAGACACACCGACGAGGGAACCCCAACAAAGAGCCTGCAGGCAAACCTGCACACATATGTGGTTAGCTGATTTTTGGCAAAAGTAATTTAATGGAGAATGTTTAATGTTTAGCTTTTTCAACAAAATGTGCTGGAACAATTGGACATCTATATGCAAAACAAAACCCTTAACCTATATTCATACCAAATAAAAAAATTAACTCACAATGAATCTTAAATCTAAACTATAAAATTTCTAGAAGAAAACATAGGAGAAAATCTTTGTGACCTGGGATTAGGCAAAAATTTCTTAGATATGATGTAATCCATATAAGATAAAGCTGGTGAAATGAACTTCCTCAGAATGTAGAACATCTGTGTTGTGAAAGATGCTATTAAGAGAATTAAGAAACCACACACTGTGGGGAAATATTTGCAAATCAAATCTTTAACAAAAGGCATTTATCCAGGACATGTAGAGAACTGTAAAAACTCAGTAATAAGTGAAAGTTATCGCTGAGCCTCCTGGTGGTCTTCCTTCAGCTGTGTCTCCTTCCTTCATTTTGGTTATATTTTGGGGGAAATGCATCTTGGATTTTTAAGTAAAATATGACTCTTTGGAACAAGAAAAGCATATTTGAAAACTCAAAAAAAGAAAAAAAAGAAAAATACCCTCAGTAATGAGGAAACGACCCAATTTAAAAATATGCAAAGATTTAACAGCCACTTCACCAAAGAAGACATATGGGTGGCAGATAAGCATGTAAAAAGATGCTCAACATTATTAGTCATTAGGAAAATGGATATTAAAAACCATAGTGAGATACCACTTTACAACTATTATAATATAGTTAAAACTTTTTTTAAATGTGACATTACCAAGACGAGAAGATGCCAAACAACTGGAACTTTCACACGTCCCTACTGGGAACACAAAATGCTGCAGCCACTTTGAAACATGGTTTGGCAGCTTCTTATAAAGTTAAACACCCACCTGCTATATGACTCAGCCACCCCACTCCTAGGCATTTACCCAAGAGAAAAAGCATGTTTTTCACCCAAAGCACTGTACCAAATGTTTATAGTGGCTTTATTTATGATAATTAAAAACTGAAAAGAATCCAAATATTTTACCTGGTGAATGTATAAGTAAATTGTGGTATATTCATACAATGGAAGACTATTCACTAATAAAAATAAACTGTTAATACTGTTTATAAACTGTATAATAAAAATAAACTGTTAAAACTGTTAATAGAAGGATCCAAATCCATATGATAAGTAAAAGAAATCAGGATCAAAAGGCTATCTACTGCCTTTTGATTCCATTTATATGGTATTCTAGAAAATGCAAAATTATAAGATCAGAAAATAGTCCAGCAGTTGCCAGGGTTTGGGGATATGGGAGGGGTTTATTGCAAATGGGAAATTTGTTGGGAAACATAGCTGTTCCGGTATCTTGATGGTATTAGTGATTACACAACTCTTTGCGTATAGAACTGTATGCAAAAGGAGTGAGTTTTATTGTAAATAAATTTTAAAAACATAAATGAGGTGAAAGTGAAACAGATAAATGTTACTCTGAGACTCAGAACTGCTGCTAATGGTAAAAGTCTCCTAAGCAAGAGACAAATTATTCATAGGAATGAAATTATATTTGCTTTTCAAACTGGGCAGAGGAAAAGAGAGAAAAAGCTATGCCCGTGGGTACCAAGTAAACATGGTAAATACTTTATTAGTTTGGGCTCTTAAAATGTCAGTTTTCATATGCATGGTTTTTCTATATATTGTCATGCAATTTTTTATCCCCTAAAGTGTAGCTTTTTAAAGACTCATATTTTTTTAAATTTGTTTTTCAAGGATCAAGCTTTGTCTCTTTACTGTCTTAAATAGAGACAAATTCCCATCTAGAGTGTGTAGTTTTATAATTTTTAGGCACCATGCTTATTTTAATATTTTACCGTCTAGTCAGGCCATCCGTCTGCTGACTCCTGATTTTTTTAATGACAAAGCTGGCATCACTGGGCTCTAGGAAACTTCACACTGGGCATAGCCTTCTGACTTTCTGAAATGTCATTTAATATTATCCTACATCATTACTCAACTGTCCACATGAGGGACAGTAGAATAGAAGAATTTNTGAAGGACAGTAGAACAGAAGAATTCAATTTTCAGGTCAGATTTCATAAGATTCTGGATCCAAAATCTTTTTAAGAAAGTCCATTTCTACTGTAATTGAGTCATCCATATGTCATCCTCTTAACCTTCATAATCAAATCAATTAATGATCAGTCTTGTTAATCTGGATCCATCAACCCTTGTAAAACATGCTATGATTTCATTCTATTATGAGAAAAAAACATGTAAGTATCTGGAGGCTAACGATATTAGGAATATAATTTAAAACTAATTGGGTACTCACAAGATAAGTTCCGATTAAAACTTAGAAAAAAATTCTTGGAAAATATTTTTTTCATTGGATAAAAGTTATAATGTCATCAAGAGTAGTCAGCGGTTACTGGATGTTTCATATTAACATACTGGGTGGATGTTTGCTCAAGACTCGTGAGTGACATCCAAAATTATTTGTAGCCTTTATCATGAAATTAAAATATCCCTGGACCAAGTCACCTAGAATAAACTGAGTTAGATCTATCATTGCTTTTTGTTTCTTAAGAGAAAGTAGGCTGGAAAGATGGATCATGAATCGGTGTCATTTGTTGCTGAGCCTCTTTATTGAGAGGTCCATGTGGCAATTTTGGAAATCCCGGGTGAGATGGGTGTGTGGGCCTGGGCAAGAGGGGGGACCAGGCTGGCTCAAGCTCTATCTTTCCAACTGCCACAGATAGGGTCCTAAGATCTAAAGCAGATGAGTTTGCCCTTTTCCCATAAAACACTGGGCTAGTAAATTAACATAAACGTGAAGATTCCAAAGTGCAAAACCCTGAACCTTCAGAATAAAATTATTTTTTATGCTCCTTTTATGCAGGAATGGACAGACCACAAATTACGCTGGAATCCTGATGAATATGGTGGAATTCATTCCATTAAAGTCCCATCAGAATCTCTCTGGCTTCCTGACATAGTTCTCTTTGAAAAGTAAGTATGCAGAAGAAAAGGACCCTGGGCAGACTAGGACTAGAAATTGAAAAGCCTGATGTTGGTAAAGTAATTAAGAGAAATGCACCACTTCAAGTAACAAGAGAATTGTTCCTTTTTGAGATATTGGTTGACCCTGCAGTAGGAAAGTAATAAAATACAAATAACACAGCGGTGGGCAAAACACCCCAAACTAGTAAGCGTTCAACTTGCCACTAAAGTGCAACTCCTCTGACTGCAGCGCAGATGGCCGTTTTGAGGGCTCCCTCATGACCAAAGCCGTCGTGAAAGCGAATGGGACGGTCGTGTGGACCCCTCCTGCCAGCTACAAAAGCTCGTGCACCATGGACGTCACGTTCTTCCCCTTCGACCGGCAGAACTGCTCCATGAAGTTCGGGTCCTGGACCTACGATGGCGCCATGGTCGACCTCGTGTTGATCGACGACAGTGTCGACAGAAAGGACTTCTTTGATAACGGGGAGTGGGAGATCCTGAAGGCCAGGGGGACGAAGGGGAGCCGAAGGGACGGCCCCTACTCGTACCCCTTCGTCACCTACTCCTTGGTGCTGCGCCGCCTGCCCCTGTTCTACACCCTGTTCCTGATCGTCCCCTGCCTGGGGCTGTCCTTCCTCACGGTGCTCGTCTTCTACCTCCCCTCCCAGGAGGGGGAGAAGCTCTCCTTGTCCACCTCAGTCTTGGTTTCCCTGACGGTTTTTCTTTTAGTGATTGAGGAAATAATCCCATCGTCCTCCAAGGTCATCCCTCTCATTGGGGAGTACCTACTGTTCATTATGATTTTCGTGACCCTGTCCATTATCGTCACCGTGTTTGTCATTAACGTTCATCACAGATCTTCCTCCACCTACCATCCCATGGCCCCCTGGGTCAAGAGGCTCTTTCTGCAAAAACTTCCGAAGTGGCTTTGCATGAGGGACCACGTGGATCGCTACCCTTCCCCCGGGAAAGAAGAGAGGGAGCGGGCGGTGCAAGGGCAAGTCCCAGGAAGGAAGAAACAGAAGCAGCGGAGTGAGGGCGAGGCAGTTCTGGTCGCTTTCCTGGAAAAGGCCGCCGATTCCATTCGCTACATCTCGGGGCACGTGAGGAAAGAGCATTTCGTCAGCCAGGTGAGCAGGCCGGTGCTTGGGAGTGGGAATTCTCACCGCGATCTGCGACAAAAGGCCGTCGTTTAAAATGTCACGTTATTAGCTGTCTGCTTCACTGGCATGAAATTTAAAACAAGTCCTGACATAAATTAGGGACCTGGGTATAGATTTTTAAGAAGTTCGCAGAACGAGCAAAAGTGAAGCCACTGCAGATTAAGCACCATTCTTTGTGATTAGGCTTAATTGTATTTAAAATAACTCAGTTCTACATTTTAAATAGACTATTCTTGTCTCTGGTAATTTCTCATTTTTTATGGGGTGATGGATATTTCTATCCATAGTATTTGGAAATAAACAGAAAGAATCAGATTTTGAAACTAACATAAAAATATAGTGTTACGACCAATGTTTTGGTGAAAGAAAAGGGTGTAATTATTTTGTTTACAGATTTGAAAAACAAAAAATGTGGCAAGAGTGAGAATTGCAGACTCAGAACAGTCGTGGACTCAGATCCTGCCTGTATTCTACATGACTTGAGACACAGTACAGAATAATCCCTACATAGTAGAAATAGGATGTTTATATTCCCTTGAAAGATGAGAACTGGCCCGTCCTTCAGACTTCTCCAGCCTCGCTGCTTGTTCCTGCTCTGACCTTGCCCTTCGCGGTTTGTTGCCCATTTCCCACCCCCAACTTCCCTGCCTCCAAAGGGACTTGGTCTCCTCTCTCCCTAATGAATTCCTGCCACCTCCCGGTCAGTTCTCGTCCTTGGCAATGTCCATCATTCTGGGGCTATAGCAGCCAAATCCACTTGTGTAGTTGAAGAAAAGTAGGCTTGTGCATTGGACCATGAAAATTCTTAATTTATAAATTTGTGATTTATTTCATATGTAATATTAGGAAGCATCACACTGAGAGCTACTGGCTTTTTATTTGTGTGAAAAATCACGCTTCCCTCCATTTTAATCAACAATGTTTACAAATACATGAATGATCCTGTTGTTTCTATTTTACATCTTCGGTGTTGATGAAAGTGTTCTCAGGCTGTTTAGCTCGGGCACCATTAGTGACGTGACCGGAAGAATCAGAGCCTAAATTGTGGGCGATGTATTAGGTGTTTTAAGAACTGATGGGCTGTAAATGTGAATATTACTCTTTTTAAATCCCCTGGAANTCGGGCACCATTAGTGACGTGACGGGAAGAATCAGAGCCTAAATTGTGGGCGATGTATTAGGTGTTTTAAGAACTGATGGGCTGTAAATGTGAATATTACTCTTTTTAAATCCCCTGGAATGAATTCAGAATGGTTGCCCGGGATGGTAAATGGAAGGTATCTTTTTCTCTTTTGCAGGTAGTACAAGACTGGAAATTCGTAGCACAAGTTCTGGACCGAATCTTCCTGTGGCTCTTTCTGACAGTGTCTGTGATGGGCTCCATTCTGATTTTTACCCCCGCTTTGAAGATGTGGCTACATAGTTACCACTAGGGGCAAGTCTCCAGAGCAATCTAATATCCACACCATAAAGACAAAATTACACCTTAGAGCTGACATCCAGCCAGCATGTATATACACTACCCAAATGTGCATGCTCTTTGGAAGGGCCTGAGCAGTCCTCATGGAAACTGAACCTTGGTAAATGTGCATTTACCCACAGTAAATTCATGGCTGCCATTAGAGTGGGTTGGGTCTAAGTAAAGCAGAACCTCCACGGGCCCCTGCCTTGGCTTCCACAGACATTCAGGGAGGAGACATATGTCCAGGCCTGAGGCCACAAGCACTGTTGCTGGTTGGTGGACTGATGTTCCCAGGAAGGTGAACTGAGGCCTAACTAACACAGGTCCACTGAGAATTCAAGAAGGCCTCGAGTGAAGGTGTTTGTGTGGGCGGCACTTGGGTCTCCTGTGTCTAATACTATCCTGGTGTTTTGCCTGAGTTGCNCTCGAGTGAAGGTGTTTGTGTGGGCGGCACTTGGGTCTCCTGTGTCTAATGCTATCCTGGTGGTTTTGCCTGAGTTGTGCTGTGCGCTGTGTGTTGTGGTTGAACAAATCTCAATAACCATTTGGGGAATTGCACTGGGATGACAGCACCTGGCACAGCCGTAATTGTTACTATGAAGATTTCAAGATGCCACTGGTCAATTAAAATGCCCCTACCCCCACATGGCATTCGTTGAAAACGGTTTCTCTTGAATGTCGTAAGAATGTGGTGTTCTAGGCTTTCCATTCTATTTCTTCTCTTCCTTCCTTTCCTTCTTGGGGTGAGAAAATGTAAGCTCTACTCTCTTAGAATTAGTCACAGCATTACAAAGGTTTTCAAATGGCAAAACTGCTATGAACTGCAGCGTGCTTTAAGGCCATATCAAAATAACTTACAGTAGAAACAGTGTCGTCTGCTACCAGAAGTACAGCCATTAATGCCCATTATCTTTTCCGAGAAAATTGAAATATCTGTACTGAACCTTCCCTGATAATGGTGCTTTTAAGTCCTAGCATCTAATCTAATCCATTCAACAGCATCCTATAGGCTT